ATTAGAGGAATAAACTGCTGGTGTTTCTCCCCTGTCTATCGCTGCTGCAGTCAAGGATCACGTACGGGCCTAACATCGGACCAAAGGCCTAAAAGACAAAAGTGTTGCGCATGGCCGGGGGTGGGACCATTATTAAGGTGGTTATGAGTAATCCATGAGAATGGCAATCGTCGACAGTCTTCTCGGGCTATCATACAAGTTATTTCCCAGTTTCTCCGCCTCTCCGTCAGAGCGAGTACGGAAGAGGTTTCAACTTCCGGTGCAAGCAGAGTGCCAAAAAAACCTACGTAAGATTTTCGGGTCTTTTTATGGCGTAAAGTGTCATAACCATCCAGTGAATTCGCACGGTAGAGTGAATGCTCACATCACACAGCCATATAGTATCAGATATTAAATGTACGAAGCATGTGTGCAATAAGCACACGCTGATTACCTGGAGGTTCCTCGTTCTTTTCCAAAGCAATGAGGTAGGCGTCCTTCAGCATAAAATGTTCTGAGGCAAGCACACAATAGCGTCCTCGAGTTCGCATATCATCGAAACATTTCAGATATTCTATTTCCATTGCTGGTTGCACTGCAACAATTGAACAGTTAAATGAGCAGAAGAATGCTGGCGCTGACATTCGTTTTCAGCATAGTATACCCAGCAAATGCTTGTTGCTTTGTACAAGCTTAGAGGTGTATACAACTTGGGAATGCATACAGAAGCGCAGCCCTGAACAGTCCCAAACGAATAAAGATGTTGGATGTTAATCTTTCAGTGATAATGAGGCAAGTTCAAACGGTGGCGCCCATGCGGAGATGCAGGACCGTGAAGGAAGTTGACCGAGAAAATTTTATATTTTTAGCTTAACTGACTGCGATGTTGAAAAATACGGCCATAGCAGGGAAGCAAAATGTAGTCAGCGAGTTTTCAAATTTGATGAAATGCAATACGAGGACCGTCTAAGAAAAAATGCAGCTGATGGCGCTATCACCCAAAGGTTTTTCAGTACTGTCTCTGTTTACCTCTGGGCGTGGGGTACTATTTCTGTTTACTTCTATGTTCTTAAAACTTTGTCATGGAAAACAGACGAAAAGCCGGCCAAGAAGAAGCCGCCACAAAGAAAAAAGATGCATACTGCCTGTGGAAGGCATCCAAGAAAAAAAAGATTTATTCTGTCTTGAAAGGCAGATGTGTTGCCAGGCTGATCCTGGAGAACAAGGGCCGGTGATGTAATGGGTAACACAGAGAGCACGAATTTGAACAGAAGTGGTTCGATTCCCTTCCAGCCCATAGGGAGCATTTTCGAAAAGCGACTCGTCTACGACAAATTTCCGTGCCATTGACTTTCAACATTTCTTTATGATAGGTCACGTTGCTAAAATACAGGTGAATCGCAAGCGAACGTGCTAAAGGAAAACAAAGCAGCGAAGTGAACATGATACACCTACCCTTTTTACAGATGAAAAAGCGAAAACACCGAGAGCAGACTGATCATCAGAGCTTCGGTGCAGGACCGCAGAAAGGCTGTCTGTTGTGAGGATAGCGCCAAGGTGTGCAATGAAGAAACTACACTGGAAATAAGTCAAAATATACCTGGTCTGTCGAGCCGCAGAACAATTACATCGCGTGCTTTTGACAGGCGCAGATTACTCAGGTACTCGAACACAATGACGGGGTTAATGCGCCCGATGATGCGAATGAGTGCTTGCAGCTCTTCACGCAAATTAAACGCCTTCCCGTTACTCACTGCAGTCAGTGTTGTTGTAAATGAAAAAACTTTCGGCATTTTCATTACACCCGTCCATACAATATGTCGCTCTTCCCTGCAACTAGCCAGTGTTATGAATCTCAAGAAAGATGGTGCACTCTAGAAAAAAACAAACAGTGCTGAGGAAAGGGACATGAAGTGAAAAGTTGAAATTTTTCCCCTCTTTTCTTCACCAGGAATGATGAAAGTGGTAAAAAATAGGCAAAATGGTAAAACACCGCTAGTAATAATCATAAGCCAGTAAAGATTTCAGGTAAAGTAAGTTAAGGCTGTACAAAAGTTGTAATAGAAGAATTTCACTTGAATGTCATGTGTTTGAAGACATTTTATTATAAGTTGTACAAAGTTAAAGTTAAAGTTGCACAAAAAAGTGCTGTTGATGATTAGAACTTCTCTAAACGATTTACCGTTCACTCGATTTAGTGAATCACAAAACGCATGGCATTTCCACTGTTTCAGATTGAGAACAACGATACCGCCACATCAATAAAATTAGCAAAAAATAAGGTTAAACTTGTTCTAAAAGTAACCTCTCCCAAATGGTTGGTGAAGAGCGATCCTCCTCGTCCG